TTTAGGATTCACTAGTGGGACAAATGATATTTCTTCTCCTCAAGCTAAAATAAACATGCTGAACTGTACTTTCTATGTAATCCTAATACTTGGGAATACTCTTAAATATACAGTGTTGAACATATCTATTGATCAATACTTGTTTTGTCAGATCAAGTTGTGAAAGACTATGAATTCATACGTAAAGCTAGATGGACTTTGGCTGGCAGGTATTAATAAAATTCACAAGTTGGATTTTAGCTGAATGTATCAAGACCTGCTCTACTACATACAGCATTCAGTATTTGCTAATATTTACTTCCAGCACAGTTTGAGAATTCTAAGCACCTTGAAAAATAAGGACAGTATTTAACAAGGGAATTTTCTAATTTCTTGTTATTTATATATTAAAAAAAAATAAATCTCTTTTTTGAATAAATCAAATCATGGTTGAAAAGTTTAAATTGAATACAATGTTTTAAACAGCAAAGCTGTTTACAAACATCTAGTAAAATAAGATACACCCCTGTATTTCTCCAGCTTTAGAGTGATTTATAAATATCACCTGAGTAACCAAATGATATGCTTGACAATGGACTAAGGTAGATTCCACTTCCAAACATTGCACCATGGAGCTGAAAAAGAGCAGAGGGATTACTTAGTATTAATTTGGTTACCTGGACAATAGGTAACCAAAGGAATAGGTCATAATGCATTTGCTCACCCTATTAATTTATTGACAGGTAAATAACAGTGTTCAAAGAAGTCTTTTAAAAAATCACGCCCTGAGTATAAAACTAAAATAGATAGAGATAGATAGATAGATAAATAGATAGATAGATAGATAGATAGATAGATAGATAGATAGATAGATAGATAAATAGATAGATAGATAGACAGATAGATAGATAGATAGATAGATAGATAGATAGATAGATAGATAGACAGATAGATCGATCTTGGAAACCATATCCAAACAAAAAAAAAACAGATGCCCAAACAAAATTTTACTTAAGATTTATATATAATTTTATATATTGTGGGGTTTGTTTTTAAATCTAGTATTACTATGAAGGATGCCTACAAAGAGTGTTTCTGCACATGACCAAATACACCCTGGGATCCTCTTCCAAGGTACATGGACTCAGCTCTGGGGAGAGCTGCCAAAACCACAATGCCAAAATACTCCACATTATAGCTCCCAGTCCTTCTGTAGTGCCTGCTTTGCTCTGCAATAGTGGTCTCCTGATGATTCAGTCTGAGAAGTCTGCACTAGATCCCTCCTGGCCAGTGCACTTCATGCTTCTATTCCCAAAGAAATCAAGGACTCAGAGAGAGTGCTGCTAGCCCAGTTCCTAGAACTCTAGCATGTTTCTGGATCCTGTTAAACGGAGACAGTTTAGGCAGCTCTGACTTTCACTTGCAACTGCTCTTAAGCAGTACCGAGCGAAGCCTCCTGGAGGTGCTGCTCTGCAACATAAAACTGAAACACTGATTCCCACAAAGGGATTTTCTCGACGTTTTAGCAGACGCATTACTTCATCTTAATTGCATCAGAAAAGTACTTTCTCCAGGAAACAAGATGATGGTATTTGAAATCATCCATTTTTCCAGCTATTTGGCTGGAAAAAAAATTTGGCTACCAGAATTAAACCACCTGAGAACTTGCCAAAGCTAGTATGTTGCCAGCCTGCTAAAATCTAGGTTAGCTAAAATCTATTTTGTCTATTTACCTGCAGCCTCGTATTGGAAGCAACAACTAAACCGTTCCTCAGGATGGAATGCCAATTTTCAATGTGTGAACCACTGAATAAAATGAAAAAGAAAGCGGTATAATTCACAGTGTAAAATGCAAAATTACATCAGAAATCCTTTAAAACAGTGGATTCACAGCTGCAAACCTCAAATGCCAGAAGCAAAAAATAGCATGGCATTTCAGTAACCTTTGGTTATTATGAATGTATGTACTCACTGAAATGCAAAGGTACTTCCGTAGAGATTTTTAGCAGCTCGGAAATTGGATTCTTTGGCTGGTGGACTGCTGAGAAGAAGGAACTGGTGGGGAGTGTGCATAAACTTTAGTTGCTGTAAAATATAAGAGCGCACATGTGAAGAGAAGTTGATTAACATGAAAGTACTGCAGTTCCCTGATGGCAATCCTTAAGGTACCCTGCTTTTCCACACAACACACGACTGTATCTCAATAACTACGTGAACTAAGCTGAAACTGGTCTCACTTCCACAGTTTCAAGCTCAAATCAAACAGTAAAAATTACTTTCAGTTTATGAAACATAACAGAAATTTTTGAAA